GGTGATATGATTCACCAAAGCTTCAAGATGTCACCCTCACGTCTTTCTCATGCATCCCTCAGTTTCCGCGCCTTGCAAATGCCAACGTCATCAGGCGCAAGCACGGCCCATGCTTGTAGCTCAGGTCGTCCTTCTCTTTATTTTGTGTGCGCACACCTACGAGTTCGTCATGGTTCGACGATGCCCGTCAGGGTCTGCAATCACTATTCATGCACGCTGAGCGGCAGTCACGATGGTCGTGGTGTGCTTGCATCTTTTGGATTCGTGGGTGGCATAGTGGGCCGTACAATGAGTGGAGAAAGAATGCCGGATGATCTTCGACCATCGAAGCGATGAGATGTGGGGTGGGCGATCAATCTCAGGGCATGCGTGACTTTGAACGATGGGTTACCATCGTCGTGCTGGCGGATTGATCGCCAGCTTTTGTAGGTTTTCCTTGCGAGAAGCGCATGTCAAGATGAGCAGCAAACGCTTACGCTAATAGTTGGTCGTGCAGATGCGAAGCTACAACGCGCAGCTTAGGCCTTGAGGAGCTGCAAGAACTCGGCAGAAGCAGGAGTCTTCTTCTCTCTGTGCTCAACCTTGGTGTTCGCCTTGTGGTTCTTGACGAACAGAGCTCTGCGGTTCTCAGCGCGCACCACAGCAGCCTTGTAAGGGTTGAGGCGGAGCATGACGGTGCGGTTGCGGAGAGGGTTCTTCTTCTGGGTAGAAGTGCGCTGAGTGCGGGCAGCCTGCTTGGGCCTGACGATGGACTGAATCTCATCCGAGTTGATGATTCGGGTAACATCAGTGTTAGTGATCTTGGCAGTGGGGATGGGCTTGGCGTTGGGGCCGAAGATGTTGTCCAGCTGCTTGAAGGCAGCCTCGGTGAAGATAGTGAATCGGCCAATGGAGCCACCGGGCGCCAACTGAAGCAGGTTGAGACGATGAACTGAGACGAGCTCAACACCTGGAAGGTTGCGGAAAGCCTTGACAATGCCGTTGTCGTTGTCGTAAACGACGAGGGGACCACGACGAGACTTGTAGCGTCTGCCGCGCAGCTTTCCTTGACCAGCCCTGATCTTGCGCTCAACCTTTTCGACATCAGCGTAGGCCTTGACAGCCTTGAGAGCGGCGACAGCCTCCTTGGTCTTGGTGAAAGACTCGACAGAGGTGGGAATGACGAGAGGGACTTCGTCAAGCTCCTCGACCTTGTGTCCACGGGCGAGCAGCAAGGAGGGCAAAGCAGTGGCAGCAAGTGCAGATGCAGTGGCGTAACGCTTTTGCTTTTGGTTGCTCTTGACAAACCAGCGGCGCCAGAGCTTGGTGGGTGCGAACATGTGACCTCCACGAGTCATGTTACCAAAGGCAGCCTGTCAGGAAACACAATCCAGCGCGCGTAAGTGTGCGCTCCGATCAGCGGGCAGTTTGTTGAGTTCAAACATCCTCCCTATGCTTTTCCAATGCGCGCCCTGCCACTCACCTGACCGGAACGGTGAGTTCCCCCGCCACCAACACGAGGAATACGAGCAACAGCACGACCAGTACCCCAAGACTCAGCGCTGGTTTGGTGACCAGCGTTAGTCGCTACAGCGTAGGGTTGACGCTTGTTCTTGGCCATGTTCTTGTGGATGGCGGCAATGACATCCGTGCGGATGGGGGCGGTGAAGACCTCGGGCAAGGTCAGAGAGCCCGAAGCTGCGCCATCAAGGCCGCGAACGGACACAGCTGCGACAAGGATCAGGACGAAATTAGCCCCGTTGCGCCGCCATTGTGCTGGGCTCGTCCAGCGATGCAAACTTACTGGGACGAGCAGTGGCCATCTTCTGGAGTGTCGAGTGAGGAAGGTGGGTGTGATACTTTGTCAGCCTGCATGTCCTCGGAGCTCTTCAAGACGTGGCCAAGATGCGACTTTCTACGAGCAGCGCAGCTCCTGGCAGCGTGTACAGAAATCCACAATATGTACGTAGCCTGCGGGGCTCCCCTCTTGACCTCCCCTGCAACTCGCACAAGCCCGAGCCGGGACTGTCCCAAAATTTGACCCCGCCCCAGGAGCACATCATTACCGATGTTGTCTCACATCATCTCCAACCAGCGCGCATCCCACGCTCAACAATCAGCAAACACTCGAGGAGCAGGATTGCGTCCACGTATGCCTGGCTGCCCTGGCACCTTACTCCAGGTCAAGGGAGATGAGCATCGCAGACGCAACACCCCCGTCTGCTCGCCCTGCCACCCGCACCCAATCTTTCCCTCTGTACTGCTCCTGAAAAGCCCAAAGGTCGAGGAAGAGATACGCACGTTGTTGATAACCGCAGATGATGTGTATGAATCTTGAGGATGGTTGGAGAGAAGCGGTAAGTGAGTCCACGTCGTGCGATGCGACAAGCAGGTGGATAAGCGTCAGCCCTTGAATCTTCGACGCGGCCTTGGCCGCGCAATGCTCTGCAGCGGACGCTCGAGTGCCACGAGGCCACGAGGCAAAATTTCTGGGCGCG